CGTCGTCGTCGTCGTCGTCGTCGTCGTCGTTGTTGTTGACGTCGAATAGCCTCCCAGAAGATCGAATGGCCAACTGCGGAGGCGACCCTGATAGTGCTATTCCACCGACTCTATTGGGCAGGTAACTGAGTCGGCGAAGCCGCCGTACAAGCACACAACATTGATGTTCTTTGAGGGATGCTGGTGCTTTAGGTATTTCGACATGACATGCAGCTTGCAGAAACCACTGCCCTTCATCGCCGCAGTCAAATAGACAGCGTAAAAACACGAGCAGGTTAAGAGACAAGGGAGGGGCCAATATATCAAGTTTGGCACAACAAGTTTGAAGGGATGGTGGTCCGAATCGCTCAATCGAAAAAACCGCTGTGTCTTCTCCAGGCAAGTGGGTGTATTCAATTCTCCTCCTCAGGGGACATCGAACGTGGATATACCCTATCATACTCGAGGTGCTCGAGAGGGAAGCTACAACTTGATCTTAGCTGTCAGGCCCAGAAACGTCCTGACATGTTAGCTATCAGGACGAGAAACGTTCTGGGATGTTTTCCGTCAGGACGAGAAACGGTATGTTAGCTATCAGGCCGAGAAAAGTTTTGGGATATTAGCCTCCCAACAGAGAACCTTTCTGCGATGTTATACGACAGGCCGAAAAATGTCCTGGGGTCATAGACTTCACGCCGAGAAACGTTCTGTAATGATAGCCGTCAGGCTGAGAAATGTACTAGGATCTCAGCCGTCAGAACGAAGATCGTACGAATGTTATCCATCAGGACGAGAAACGGTCTAGCATGTTAGCCGACAGGCCTAGAAACGTTCTGGGATCTTAGGCATCAGGCCAAGAAAGGATCTAGTATGTTAGCCGTCAGGCAGAGAAACGTTCTGTGATTATAGACGCGAGACCGAGAAACTTTCTTAGACATCAGGCGAAGAATGTTACGGGATCTTAACCATCAGGCCGAGAAAAGTCTGGGATCTTGCCATTAGTCCGAAGAACGCTTTGTTATTTTAACCATCTAGCCGATATACGTTCTGGCACTTTATCCATGAGGCAGTGAAACATTCTGTGCTCTTAGCTACCAGACCAAGAAACCAAGTTATGTGATCTTAACCATCAGGCCAAGAAATATTCAGGGATATTAAATATCATGCCGAGAAACTTTCTGTGATCTCAGCCATCAGGCCGTGAAACATTCTGGTTTAGACATCATGCCATGAAATGTTCTGTTATCGTATACTTCAGTCCAAGAAACGCTCTGAGACCATAGGCATCAAGCCAAGAATCGTTCTGTGATCTAAGCTAAAAGGCCGAGAAACGTTCTGTGATGTTAGCCATCAGGACTAGAAACGTTCTGGGACGTTAACCATTAGGCCAAGAAAAGTTTTGGGATCTTATTCAACAGGCCGAGAAACATCAGGCGCTTCTCGGATAGATGAATAACAACGGAAAGTACAACCGACGTCGAAGTATGTTCCTAGGTATGTCGTCTAACTTCAAAGTTCGCTTCCGTAGAGGTGGCTAACATCAGTGGAACAACAGTATATCGGTCTGATTTCTGTCATCGATGTCCGTTGCTCGACATCACGAATATCATCGAAGAAGTTACTCGGTATGATGTCTCTCATGGTAGTTCGGTTCTCAGCCTGTTGACTATCCAAAATCGGAGGCTGTACATCGGCCCGATGACTGACAGAGACCGCCGTTTCGCAGCATCCAGAATAACATCGATGTATGTTACTCGGCATGATGTTTAACATTGAAGGTCGCTTACAAGACAGGTGGCTAACCCCACCGGGAGAAAGTATCTCGGTCTGATAGCAGTCTTCGAATGCCGTTTCTCAGCATCACGGCAACATCGAATGTTTCTCGGTATGGCATCAATCATCGGTGTTGTCTTCACAGTCAAATATCTAACATCAGAGACTGCCTGATACCTATTACAATAGTCCTATTCACTGCATCACGACGAACATCGAATAATGCTTCTCGGCAAGACGTCTAACATCAAAGGTCGCTTATAAAACAGATGGCTATCATCGGAAGATATATCTCGGCCAAATGGCTGTCATCGAAAGCGGTTTTTCGGCGTCACGACTAACAACAAACAATGTCTCTCGATATGACCCTAACATCTCAGTCTCAGATGACTCAGATAGAACGATGTATCTCGGCCTGGCATCAGTCATCGATTGCCGTTTCTCCGCATCACGTATAATATCCAAATATATTTCTCGGCATGACGTCTATCGTATGTCGCTTCTCTATCAGATACCCAACATCGGAGGATGTATCTCTGCCTGATTGCTGACATTGAATTCCGTTTCTCAGTATCACGACTAACCTCGAAGATTGTTTCTCGTCACAATGTCTAACATTGAAGATCGCATCTCAGACAGATAGATAAAATCGTAGTAGATGTATATCGGCCTGATGACTGTCATCGAAGGCCGTCTCTGGAAGTGATGGCTATCAGAGTATTTATGTCGTGATGGTCATCGAATATCAATCATCAGCGCCACGACATACATCGAAGAATGTTTCTCGGAATGACGTCTTTCTTTGATCACTTCTCGGACAGATAGCTACCATCGTTTGATGTAAATCAGACAGATGGATGTCATCGAATTCCGTTTCTCGTCATCACGACTAAAAAGTGAAGCATGACTCTCGGCACGACTTCTATCAGCTACTGTCTCTTCTCGGCCTGACGGCTAAGATCAGAGGATACATATC